CAAAGCAGCCGCACACTTTTACACGCCCCCCAGCGGCGTATGGAAGGTTCCGGTTTCCCCACGACCTCAACGACGCATGTGATTAACTGTCTCTTTGATTGTAGCTATTCTGGTGGATATGAAGTGATACCTCATTATAGTTTTACTTTGTAGTTCCCTGGGGGCTAACGGTATTAAGCACTTTTTGTGTGTATATTGGCCATTTGTATCTTTTCTTTTTTAAAATGTGTGTGCCTGGCTGGTGTGGCTCAGTGGGTTGAGCACCAGCCTATGAATCAAAAGGTCACTAGTTGGATTCCCAGTCAGGGCACCTGCCTGGGTTGCAGGCCAGGTCCCCAGCTGGGGGAGTGTGAGAAGCAACCAATCAGTGCTTCTCTCGTACATCGATGTTTCTCTCCCTCTCATTCTCCCTTCTCTCTAAAAAATAAATAAACTCTTTTAAAAAGTAAAATGAAATGTGCACACACAAATTCAATCATATTTATAGGCTAATTTTGCTGAAAACTTTTGTGAGGCTGCATTATAAAACCAAAATTATTTTTCCCTAGTAATGAATAAAATATTATTAAAACCTGATTGATTCACACGTAACTAATTTAGAATGCTTGTATCAGCAGCATAGGAAAAGATGATTCTGTCTTCCCAGCCACTAAAGTTCTATCATTTAGTATTTCTGGCAGGAAAAATCAGTATAGTTAAGCAAAAAATTTTTTTTTAATTAGTGAAAAGTTTTAAAAATTCTAAATGACTTTTATAATGGTTTAAAAAAAAAAAACACCGACTTTGGAGCTATGCTCCTAAATTGCCACAAGGGGGCGTAAACAGTTGTGATCACTTTCTCCTCGCCATCCCCTACGCACACCGGCCTCTAGGCAATAGAAGACTAGACCGGTTCTTATTTGAGACCTTCTGTTTCATTAATAAGAATGAGAAGGGTTAATACAGGACTTTGTAAAAAAAAATGGTATATTTTAAATGTTTTACATTTATTTCACAAATGTGTGATAAATGTCTTCCATACACTCTAGAGTATGTTTCTGAGCTTGTTGAGTATTTCTTTGTATCTCTCCCCAAGGGACCATTTCCAGCTGAAGAAACACATCCTGTACCCGGTACAGACACACACACACACACACACACACACACACACACACACACACACCACGTTTTAGACAGGTGAGAGGCTGCCAGTATCTCCCAGTTTCTCATGGTGTCTGCAGTCTGCAGAGCCCCAAAGGCTCTGCAAGTTTCCAAACAAAAATATGCCCGCTCCATCCACAGGGACCAGAATGAATCCAAAGCTAAGCTGTTTACCCAAAATATGAACATTTTTATAGATAAGAGGGTTTCTTTTCTTTTCTTTTCTTTTTTATGATTTGACCGCAAGTGCTGGTTCTATTATAGCAAAAAGCCAGGTGGCATCTCTGGTCCCTCTGGCCTCAGATCCGTGAGTTCTGCAAGTAGTTGCTGTTTGTCAGAAACTGGATTTTGACTCTCACTGGAGAGCAGCCTCTGCACAGCACGAACCGAATCCTGTAAAAGGTTCTGAAGGGAGCCGGGAGGAGCAAGGCCAGCGCTCAGAACAGCGATCGGCTGCCGCTACTGGCCACGCCCTGCGCCGCGTGCTGTAGGCGAACAGAGGTCTGGAGAAGGTGTCCTACCTCTCCCAAGCTCCAGATTGGCAGAAAAAGGAGTCTTTGCTGGTCTTATTTTTTCTTAAATAGCCAGCTGCTGTATCTCTCCACACCACACCTGTCTCCTTTCTTGGAAAGTAAATAGAAGCTTTACTATCTAAACAAATGATAAAAAATAAAAAAAACAAGACTTTGGGGGGGGGGTTGGGCAGGGAGTAAATCACGTGAAAATCCTACCTCCCTCAGAGACTTTGGAGCTTTCTGGACGTTCAGTAATTCGGCATTATCCTGATTTGCAGGTGAGGAAGGTGAGCAGATCAAGTAGCGGAAATGCCTGTGAGGATAATATTTATGTTCCTATTGCTATTTGAACTCACAGACCCACTACGAACCAGGGACTGGTCTGAGCACATCACCCCCAACAGCCCTGCGAGGTAGGTATTATTCATACTCTGCAACTGGTGATGCAGAAACACAAAGTGGGTGGGTGATGCTCTGGGCCAGATGGGGTCCTCCCCAAATTCATACCTGGAGTCCCTAACCCCCAGTGACTGCATTTTGGAGACAGGGCCTTTAAAGAAGTCATTAAGGTTAAGTGAGGTTGTAAGGGTGGGCCCTGATTCAATAGGACTGATGTCCTTATTTAAAAAAAAAAAAAAAGGAAGCGACCCCACGATTGGGTGACCAGGAAGAAAAGGCCTGTGAGGACGCAGTGAGGACACAGTGAGAAGGTGGCCATCTGCAAGCCAGGCAGAGAGCTCTCACCGTGAACCAGTCCTGCTGGCCCCTTGATCTTGGACTTCCAGCCTTCAGGACTGTGAAAGAATGAATTTCTGTTGTTTAAGCCACCCTGTCTGTGGTATTTTGTTATGGCAGCCCTGAAAGACTAACACAGGTGATCTGCCCCGGATCTTTTGCCTGGCAAATGAAAGAATATCCACGCTGTTTGGCACCTTAGTCCACGCTTTCACTGGCTTTTGCACAGTGCTTCCTGCCTGAGAAAGGAGAGAGCAAGAGTCTTACCGGAGAATGTGTTGATGATACAGGAACTGCCAGCAATCACAGGCATTTACTGCGCACAGCCCCCAGCGCTAAGTGCTTCACGTGGAGCATCCATTTAATGCCAACAACCACCCTGTGACGTTAGTGCTGTCATTGCCCCCAGGTTACTAAGGCCTTAAGAGGACTCCAGTGGGGACAAACTCACTCCAGGGTCAGCTTGGAACACTGCCACACTGCAATGAATTAAAACGATTGGAGATCATTTTGCTACAGTCAGTTCCGCCACCTGGCCAAAAACCATTCAGCTGGGCCTCCCAAGTGAGAGAACACCGTTGAGTCAAATAATTACTAAGCCCCACTTCTCTGCAATGGTCTTTGCAATAAATGAGCCAATGAGGTGGCTGTCCCCACTAAGATGTCACAGCTTTGGAAAAAAAGGGCCGGTGGAGACCTGCCCTGACAGGCAGGGGCAGGAGCAAGAAGAGCACGGTTGCAGGAGCTGCGTGGGGGACAAGCGGAGCCACCGCCCCGCCAGGGTGAGGCCCCCCGGGGGTATTTTCACGTCCACCAGTTCAATGTGGGTCTTTTTCACATCTTCATGTCGCCTCTTAAATTCTTGATCATGTGGAGTACAGTTACGCTGTTTTGATTTCTTTGTCTCTTATTTTGAACAGTTATGTCAGTTCTTGGTAAGTTTAGATTAACTTTTCTTCTCATTCCAAGCCCTATTTTTAAAAAGATTTTATTTATTTTTAGAGAGAGGGGAAGGGAGGGAGAAAGAGAGGGAGAGAAACATCAATGTGCAAGAGAGACATCGATCAGTTGCCTCTCGTACACCCACAGCTAGGGGCCTGGCTGGCAGCCCAGGCACATGCCCTGTGACTGGGAATCCAACCATGACCTTTGGGTGCACAGGCTGCCACTCAATCCACGAGGCACACAAGCCAGGGGGCCTGCGCTTCTCTAATTAGATGCTGACGTTGTGAACGTGACGTTGCTGGGTACTGCAGTTGTAGGGTTTTAAATAATGATTCGTGATCTTTGTTCTAGGATATAAATTGCTTAGAAACAGTTTGATTCTTTCAAGTCTTCTGACATTTTTAGGCAAGACCCAAAGTGCTTAGTCTAAAGATAGTCATTCTCTACCGAGGTTGGTGGAAAAACACTAGTCCTGGCACTATTCCCCTTAATCCTTTCAGGTGGTTCTGACCATGACCTCAAGTCGTCCCCTTGCACACACGCTGGTCATGGACTCTGCCTGGAACTTGAAGAGAACCTCTGCTGACTGCCGCAGTTTGGTGTGCAGCTTTCTCCTCTGCAGCTCTCTGCACCCCAAGCTCTTGCCGCTGTGGTCTCCCCGGACTTGCAGTTCTGTCTGCTCAACCAAGGGAACCACCCGGGTTCTCCTTCCACGCACGTGGCCTGGGAGTTCTCCAAAGGCAGTCAGCTGGGGCAAGCAGGGGCCAGGCCTGTTTGTTTCCTCTTCCGGGTCACCGGCCTTTCTTGCCTGATTTCTGAAACCTTGGAAACTGTCATTTCATATACACTATCCTTTGTTACGGGTTTCAGTCGGCAAGGTAAGTCCATTCCTTGCCACTCCATCTTGGCTGGAAGTAGATTGGTTGTTTACTCTTTCGATTAGGTTTTTGAAAGATTTATTTTTTTTTAGAGAGGGAGAGAAACATCAACGTGAGGGAGAAATATTGATCAGTTGCCTCTCACACCCTCCCTACTGGGGACCTGGCCCACAACCCAGGCATGTGCCCTGACCAGGAATCAAACAGGAGCTTTAGGTTTGCAGGATGACACCCAACCCGCTGAGCCACACCAGTCAGGGTTCAATTGGATTTTGTGATTGTTTTTCACATAGGTCCAATGACTTTTCATTAAAGTGTCGTAATTTTTACTTTTATAACTGGACCGTTTCCTGTATTTCTAGGAGTTTATATCTAGAGTGGAGAAAAGCTATTGATTTGTGTATATGTAGCATTTAATTTGTGAACAGATGTCCTGAAATTGAATCATGCATTGGTCATACATTTATTTAGTGTCCTAACACAGGGAGACGAGAGGCAGGCACTTGGACCGGCGCAGCCGCTCAGCAAAGCCAGTGGGGTCCCCGTCAGCCACTCTCAGCGGTGACTCTCCACCTCATGAGCTTGTTACTTGATGGCACAAAACGGCTGCTACAACGCCAGGCTTCACCTGTGTGATCTAAACTGGGTATTAGGTATATGGGGTGCATTGTATCATCCTGTTTTGAGTGTGTGAAATTTTCCATATAAAAAAAGTTTATGAAATAGACGTGTATTTATGTGTGTGTGTATATATATATACACAACTTTTTAAAAAAAATAAGCAGAAGGCTTCGTAGGAATTTTATTCCACAGCATCATTTGCTCTGTAAAAGGGGGACAGCGCACAGTCAGCACTCATGGCAGGACAGTTGTTACTCCCCCCACTGGGCCAGGAGGGCCCCGGGCACGACCACGCCCGCCCTCCAGGAGCCGCCGCCACCTTCCTCCTCTCTGTCCTCGGCTTCAGCGGCCACCGCCCCATGTAATTCCTGAGACCAGCTCGAGGCTGTCAAATTCCTAACATTATTCAAAGCAACAAGACTGAGTTTACATTTTCCACCAGCAATCTTAAGCCCAAAGTGTTTCAAAGATTAAATAATCACACATTTAAAATACATAGAAAAATAATGTAATTAGAATTTATACAAAGTAGATGATTACAAAACAAGCACACTACAAGAAATACATCTTATATCCAAGCACAAAAATTTGGAAATATATGTTTAAGAAAAGACATTTATTGAAAATTCTGGGTGGGAAGACATAAAACGAGTTCTGGTTCACTGGTGTAACTCTGAATAGAACTGCAATTTGCTGGCAGAACCTTTCACTCGATTCTCAAGCTTCTAAAAACAGTTCCTGGAGGAGATCAGACAGCTGTTCCTCTCTCCAAATTCTGTTTAATTTCAGCTGTGTATTTCCCATAGAACCTCTCTGCCTTCTTGTTGAATTTGGCGTTCCTTTCATTAATGTAGTCGATATCTGCATCGTCATTATAAGGTCGTCTCCGGCTGTATTTGTCTCGTTTTTCAATTCTGAGGGAAAAAGAAAATAACTTATGAAATCTAAAATTTGCCTTCCTTGAGGGTCTTCACAGAACATGGACAAATAGTTAAGAACAGAACCAGTACACTTTGGAGGAGTACAGACTTCCGGCCAAGATGAAGACACGGGTAAACACTTCGCCTCCACACATACCCACAGAAAAATTACAACTGGACTACAAAACAAGCATCACCCAGGTCTGTCAGAAAATTGAGCTGTATGGACATACGACAACCGAGCATTTAAAGCCACATTCACCCAGGAGGTAGGAGGGGTGGAGGCACAGAGAAGTGTGGAGAGGAGGGGAGTGGGCGGTCCCACACTCTTGCGTGGCAGATAAAAATCGGGGAAGATACTTTTAGGAGCAAGTGATCCCAGCCCCAAACCAGACCACCCAGCCCAGGGTTCCAATGCCAGAAAGATAAACCCCCGTAACTTCTGGCCACAAAAACCCATTGGGGGTTGGGGCAGCAGAAGAGACTGTGGGATTCTCAAGCGATTGCTCTTAAAAGGCCCTCAACAGACTTAGGACTCAAGCAGACCCAACCACTGGGATCCAGCACCAGGGCAACGGCTGGAAGGGCCCACGTAGCGCACAGGGAGAAGGAGAAAAGTGAAGAGACAGGCAAGGGGGCCAGCGCCTGGGAGACAGCTTCCTCTGGGGCACCCTCTGGAGGCCAGGCTGCGGCGCTGCCCGCTCTGGGAGCCCTCCCCGACACGGAGCCGCGGCAGTGAAATCTAAGAACCCAGCCCACACAACTTACAGGTGACCTTCCACAGCAGACCACACTACTAAGACATCGACTCAAAGCAGCTCCACCTAATGCACAAACACAGGAAGGCTGCCAAACTGAGGAGACAAACTGAAGAGTTTGTCTGCCAAACTTTTTTGTTTGGCAGACCAAAAAAGACAGAACTCCAGAAAAAGAACGAAATGAAATGCGGATGAGCAACCTATCAGATGCACAGTTCAAAACACTGGTTATCAGGATGCTCCAGGACCTCACTGGGTACTTCAACGCCATCAAAAAGACCCAGGCAGAAACGAAGGTTGCACTAAGTGAAATAAAAACCTACAGGGAACCAACAGTGGAAAGGATGAAGCTGAGATTCAAATCAACGATTTGGAACATAAGGAAGAAAAAACATTCAATAAGAGCAGCAAGAAAAAACAAAAATTCAAAAAAATGAGAATAGAATAAGAAACCTCTGGGACATCTTCAAACTAACCAACATCCGAATCACAGGGGTGCCAGAAGGAGAAGAGGAAGACCGAGAAACTGAACACTTATTTGAAAAAATAACAACAACAAAAAAAAACCTTCCCTAATTTGGTGAAGAAAATAGACACACAATTCCAGGAAGCACAGAAAATCTCAAACAACTTGGACCCAAAGAGGACCACACCAAAACACGCCATAATTAAAATGCCAAATGTTAAAGAGAGAATCTTAAAAGAGAAAAGCAGAGAGTTACCTACAAAGGATTTCCCATAAGACTGTCACCAGATTTCTCAAAAGATACTTTGTAGGCTAGGAGAGACTGGCAAGAAGTACTCAAAGTGATGAACAGTAGGGACCTAAACCTAGATTACTCTACCCAGCAAACAGCAAACTATCATTTTGGATGGAAGGGCAGATAAAATGCTTCCCAGACAAGGTAAAACTAAAGGAGTTCATCGCCACCAAGCCATTATTATATGAAATGTTAAAGGGAACTATATAAGAAAAAGAAGATAAAAACTATGAACGTTAAAATGGCAAGAGATATACAACTATCAAGAATTGAATCTAAAAAACAAGCAGAATAAGAATAGAATCATAGATATGGAGATCATTTGGAGGGTTATCAGCTGGGAGGGAAGGGGGGGAAGGGGGAAAAGGTACAGGTGATTCAGTACAAATTGGTGGGTACAAAACAGACAGGGGGATGTTAAAAATAATATAGGAAATGGAATAGCCAAAGAATTTAAATGCACAGCCCATGGACATGGGGAGGCGGGGGGAAGACTGCTGCAGGGAATGGGGGTACTGGGCAGAGGGCAAAGGGAGAAAAAGTGGGACAACTATAAAGCATAATCAATAAACTATATTTAAAAAATAAAAGAATAGTATACTTTAGAGGAGGGAACAGTTTTCATCAAGATCAAGTTGAAACTGCTAAGTAACAGCACAACCCGAAGTACCATGAAATCCAGGACTAACTCATCTTCAGAACGCTTCTAAAAGAGCATGATGGCACTGTTAGAAACTGGACACGTGAAGTTTTACTTAAAATGATTACAATAATTATGTTAATAACCACCGCAGCTAATATGGAATACACAGTATGTGATAGACACTATTCTCAATACTCCATGTGCATTAGCTCCTAAAATACAAATTCATTCTGCTCTGCCTAATATTCACCCCTATCAGTATTAAGAAACACAAGTGTGGCCCTGCTGGGCGGCTCAGTGGGTTACAGCGTCGTCCTGGTGCGCCAAGGTTGCAGGTTGGATCTCGGTCAGGGCACGTACAAGAAACAACCAATGATGCATAAATAAATGGAACAATAAACCAACGTCTCTCTCTCTCTCTCTCTCCCCACTTCCTTCTCTCTAAAATCAATAAATAAAAGTTTTTAAAAAGAAAAAATGTATTCTTAAAGTATTCTTTAGTATTCTTAAAAAAGAATACTAAAACATTCTTACTTCTTCAAATCCATTAGCAGTGACTGGTACACACAATTTCTTAAAGAAGAATAATTTTCCCAGAGCATCTGAGATCCGGCTTCATGGCACGGGTCATCAGTTTGGCTCAAATAAACTCTCATAAAAATTCAACTACATGAATAAAAGAGGCTAAGCTAGAAATTAGCAAGTATAATATCTATTTAATTCATTCTAGGCTTATTTTTTCCGTTTCGCCACTACGCATTGACAGTTCCACACTGCTGTACTGAGTGAGTACTTACTGCTTTTCCAGATCTGTGACCATCCTGTCAATTTCCTGTGTGGAAGGCACGTGTGTTCCATGGAGAAGACTATTGGATGTTGGGAAAAACTCTTCTCCACTGAAAAGACAGTAAAACGGACTTACAGTAATACCACAAGTGCTCCATATCTTCAAATTTCAAACTAAACAGCCATTCACAATGAGATAAAATGTATACATGTATTTACTGTGGGATCCTACCTTAACTTAAAAAAATAATACAGAATTAGAAGGGGCCTTGTAAGTCACTTACTCTGACACCTTCGTCCTACAGACGAAGAGCCAAGGGCCAGAGGTCAAAGGACTTGCTTCCAAGTTCAGGTTATTTCTCTTTTCGCGGAAACAGGGGTCAGCCAGCTACAGCCCCTGTATTGGGAGCTTCGCGAGGACACAGCCACACACACCTGTTTCCGTGTCCTCCACGCTGCCCTCACATCACAGCGGACTTGGGTCACTGTGACAGAGGCCATGCAGTCAACACGGCCTAAAATACTATCTGGCCCTTTGTTAAAAAGTTCAGACGTGCTGGTAATGAAGCATTCTGCCTCCTAAAATAACACCCGAGTGACGATGATAATCTGGGTGTTAACCGCTCAACACCCAGTCTTCGAATGCCCAGCCAGAAAGACAGCTGAGTGGTGAGCTTAATTGCTGTGGAGTGAGCAACAGTGTTTTAAAACCAGAAATCATTCTTAGACTGCTGTTCGACAGCCCACACCTGAGCGTCACCTAAGCATTGTTTATGTGTCTGTGTTTGTGTGTGTATACGTATCTATACACACACATAAATGTATCTGTGTTACCTCAGAATGAGAGGAAAAAAACCACCACCCGGCATTAGTCCCATCCACTTACTGCTTTTCTCTCTGCCTCTCGTACGCTTCCATGTCGGGTTTGATCTGTTTGGTCAACCGATGATACTGGCGTAACTGGGCGGCAGCGTAATCTAAAGGTAAAATGAGAACCAGAGACAATATACTTCCTTGTCTGGTCATTACTACGCAGGGAAAAAGCAAAATTCTTAGTAGTAATATATACACAAGGCACCAATCTAAGCACAGTATCATCCTGAAGATGCCAAGAATACACACCTTAACTTTACCACGAAGAATAAAAGAACCCAGCTGATCTAAGTACAGCCTTTACCGCTCCCCTAGGAGACACACTTGTGTTTTTCTCCGGTTTCTGTCCCCCAGAGACTATCCCTGAAGGGGCGTATCCTTTCAAAAACCAGAAACACTGAAGGCAGTGCTTATCTAACAGGCCTGTTCAATAAGTAAAGGCTAAGTTTACCTGAAAATCCCAGGTCAGGATTTTTCCTCTTCTTTTTCCTCTCCCACCTCTCTGCATCTTCTGCACTGATCGCCAGTAACTTCACTTTCTCATAGTCTTCCCCTCTTGCTGCACATTCCTAAAAAGAAAGAGAAGCTGAAACTTGCAATTATGATACAAGCAATTATTTGATCTATTTTAAATTAAGAAAGATTGAATAAAGATATCTAGCAATATTTTCGAAATAATAATTAATATTCAAAGAAATTTCAGGAATCTGCTATGGTATTTAAGAAATAAGCACACCAAATAAAAAAATCACACCCTGGCTGGTATGGCTCAGTGGATTGAGCACTGGACTGCAAACCTAAGGGCTGCCAGTTCAGTTCAAAGAGCAGCGGGTTCAATTCCCAGCCAGGTCCCCAGTATGAGGTGCACAAGAGGAAACCACACAATGATGTTTCTCTCCCTCTCCTTCTCCTTCCCTTCCCTTCTCTCCAAATAAATAAAGTCTTAAAAATAATATTTATTCAGTGTTTATCAGGTGTCAGAACCTGTTTTAAATGTATTAACTCATTTTAACTCATAATTAACCATTATTATTACAATGCAAATTTTACAGATGAGAAAACAGAGGCACAGGCAGGGTAAGTAACTCACCCAAAGTGCTGCAGCTAGAAAAGGCAGAGCCGGGATCTGAGCCCCGTCAGTCTGGCCCCGGAGCCAGTGTACAGAGCCGCCAAGCTCTACCGTGTCAGTGCAACAGAAAGACTGAGTAACCCACTTATGAAGACAGCACAGGCGTTCCTAACCTTTTTCTTTTCTTCTTCCTGTAGTTCCCACTCCAAACGAGCTTTTCTGGCTTCCCAATTTGCAGGTAACTTAAGTCTTTTATCTTCTTCCACAACTTCCTGGTGATTTAATTTACGGGCTTCATTCTAAAACCACAACACAGAAAGTTTGTAGCTGAAACATGAAAGTCAATCCAAACAGATCTTGCCTTCTTTGAGGGTCAGGTAAGGCACACTGACAAGAGGACCTCATTTTATCCTAAGAGCAAGAAAGAGCCATCAAAGGATTTCAGAATCCTTTGACAGCAAGGGAACTGTCTAACCAGGTCAGCATTTGTATGAAGTCAAGACAAACGTGCCGGACTGCACTGCTTTGCTGCTCCGGGGGCCTGGGGTTCGTGTCAGCCTCGTCTCTGTACAGCTGTGCGGTCCCTCTGAGCAGGCAGGACCCTTAGGGTTGGATGGGAGAAGGTATCTGGAAGTGGGGAAGGACTACTGCAGTGGCACTAAATGCACTTCGGATAACTAGAAATAATATTAAATCACATGAGAAAGATGTTCTACTTTCAATGCTCTCTTAATCCTGATTAATTCAAGGAAAAGCTTCAATCTGGTGCTGGGGCTTTAATATCTATCTTAACATCTCTGATCTTTCCAAATCCCCTGTCCTCTTAAAATATTTCAACAGTTTATATTATGGCAAATGAAATGTTCCATTTGGACTACTCTGTAAAGAGTCTGTTTTAAAACAACATGAGCACATCATCTCAAAGACAAAGGATGTTAGGTGTCTCTTAGGTCACAGGCTGGTGGCAGCAAGTGCAGGATACCAGGTCTCCTAATTCCCCACCAGGTGTTCTTTCCACATCCAGGTAAATATTTAAGTGTTTAATTCTGGATGAGACTAACTTTTGGGAGCAGAGTACTCCTCTCAACTAGCATCCCTTGGTCACTCTTAACTCTGGCAATGCCCTCCAGGTGAAAACCCCAAGAACACACCTGAAGTCAAAGTTGTGTCTGCTGCACTTAAGGAGACTGCACACTAGGGGACTGCAGGCATTTCAGTGAGAGGGTTTTAGGAGGAGCTAGTTGTAGGATTTGGGTTTGTAGCAGGTGACTGGGGGTGAAAATTCATGGAAGCAAGGCTGTGCTCCGCACTGGCACTGTCAGGAAGACAGGGCATTCTATGATTGAGCATCTTAAGTTTCGACATGCGAGGCAGGATTAATGGTTTATTTAGTAATAATAGTGTAGGATGTTAGTAGAAGAGCAGGGTGTGGTCATTTCTGTGGTTTGAAGTCTTATTTTTGTCTGACTCCAACAGTCAGACAAATGTTGGGGTTTGGTGGAACCATGGCCAGGCTGTCTGTCAGGTCACTTCAAGTGAAAGAAGCTAGAGCCGCTTCAACCACTCACTGCCCCACTGCAGCCCCGCCCTGTGCCCGCCCCCTTCTCAGCTCCAACTGCAGCCAGTTTTTGCTGGACTCTTTTTCCCTAACATGAATTCTCTTCCTCTCCATTTGTTCCCTCTACTTGGATATTTATTCCTCCAACTTCTTTGTCTATTAACACCTTACTCATCTTTTAAACAGTAGTTTAAGTGTCTTATACAAGGCACTCCCCGAAACCCCTCACCCTGTATTAACCTCTCACCTATACTCCCAGGGCACTCTGTTCCTAACTCTAGCATGGCACTTACTATGACATAATTTCTAGCTATAAAGTTCTCACCTCTTAACAGAAGAGGCCTTGTCTTAATCATGTGGTTCCCCACTCACTAGCTAAATAAACCAGTAACACTATAGACTTTCAGAGATTTGCTGATTATTATTGGATGAAGGGGCAACCAGCTCTCTTATTAACATTGGACAAGTTTCTTCCAGTCTCAAGCTATACACATTTCCCTAGGTAAAATGAAGAGGTTGTTAGAATACAGCAAAGAGGCTGTTAGCATTAGAGACTCCCAAACTTAGCCCAGATTAGTTAAATCAGATGTCAGTAAGACGGGGTGGAGCAAGTGTGTGTGCAGCTGACCCTTGGACAACGTAGTTTTAAACTGCAAGGGTCCACTTAAACCAGATATTTTTCAGTACCTAAATACATTCGGCCCTTCCTATCCACAGGTTTTCACATTCCCAGCCGCGGACCAAAAATACAGGGGACCCTAAGCAACACGGGGGTTATGGGTGCTGCCCCAGCACAGTCGAAAACTCATGTGTAACTAATACTGTTTTCATCCTGCATGGTTAGTTCAGCCTATATAATGTCGAAGGGCCGACAGCTGATCCAAGTTATATGTGGATTTTCACCTGCGCGAGGGTCAGCGCCCCTAATCCAGGGGTTGTTTCAGGATCGACTGTATTTTCAAAAGTAATCACAATGTGCTGCCAGGATGGACAAACATGGGGAGGTATCTTTCATTCAGCTCTGCGGTCTGTTAGGCTCGCTGATGCGACTTGTCGTCCACACACGCTCAAGAGCCCGACCAATGACAGATCTCAGCTGGCGCTACTCACCCGCTTCAGATGCAGCTCCCGGAATTTACGCAGTCTCTGCTCGCGCTTCTGGGCGGCCAGCTCCTCCGCCGCCGCGAGGGGTTGTCCCTCTTCCGCGCTGTCCACCCTCATCTGCGACAAGAACAGACTATTGGCAGGGCCTATACAGCTTCTCCTCGGAGCTGCCCAGGCAATTCCCTGCCTGTCCGAGAGGCCGCGCTGGGCCCTCACTCGCTACCTCGACCCCATAGTGTCTACTACTCCCTGGCCCGGCACCCAGGACCTCCTCCTCCCCTGCCGCACCCTGGTAACTTCCTTCGCAAAAACCCTTAGATATAGCCAGCAACACTTACCTTCTGGGTAAGAGCCGCAGCCGCCATCACAACCTCCCTCTCCCGACTTCCGGCAACAACCCGACACTTCCGCTTGCCTTCCGCTAGATATTTCATATCCGACAGTAAGTCCCGCCCTTTCCCGGTAACATCAGAAGCTTGGGACCAATCCCTGCTCCTTCTAGCAGTGAGCTGCTTTCGATTGGGCAGGAGCTTGCGCAGCCGCAGAAGACCAGAAGGAGAGCGGTGAGGTGGCAAGAACGCTGGGAGGTGGTGGGAAGGGCATAGCGAAGGAGAAATGGCCGTTCCTGAGTTTGGTAGAAAGTCGCTTCAAATGCGTGCTGCTCTCGTGAGCAGAAAGTGCTTATCCTGAGTGTCACCTTCTCCGATGCAGTTCTTCCTTGACTACCACGTAGGCCCTTAACTATCATATGGCACCATTTTAATTCCCTCAGTAGCGTAAGGTATTTCTTTGTTCATTTTCCATTTTCCCGCATCAACTTTGTAAACGGGCAGCGCAGAAACGTTCATCTTGTTTCCGCTTCCGAGTCCAACAGGGAAACTTTCAGAATGAGTGACAGTGCTTGAGTTAATACAGTAAGGTGGTGGATACAAAAGGAATATATGAAAATTATTTTTTCTGCACTAGTAACCACTAATTAGATGTGAAAATGGAAAAATAAGCCCCCAAATAAAAAGATATCTAGGTATAAAATTTAACACGAAGAAAAACAGTTTGAGGTATAGTACTTACAAAATTAAATTCAAGAAAGCTCATTGAACAAATTTTTTCGGAGATACTTTTCTAAAGATACTGCTTTCACTCTTGATTATTAAGACCAAAACAGAAAGTTGTTTTGATTTCTTCCTGTTTCCATAGAATTCAAAATATAGTATATGAGACAAATATACCTGGAGATGACCTCACAATGCCATTTTTTATAACATTGACAAGATGCCATAGGAACTTAACTATATCAATTAGCCTATAGTAAAATGCTTTCATTATATGTTGTTTTGCTCAGTCACAGAAACTTATCAATGATGTTAAGTGAGGACTTACTAACATGTTACTGTACTAACATGAAAAATACATTAGTCCTGGCTGGTGTAGCTCAGTGGATTGAGTACAGGCTTCCCAGTCAGGGCACATGCATGGCTTGGCCAGGTCCCCCACTGGGGCTGGGGGGTGAGAGGCAGCCACACATTGCTGTTTCCCTCTCTTTCTCTCCCTTCCTCTCTCTAAATAAATAAAATCTTTTAAAAAAAGATGTTTGTAATATATCCATATAAAAAGGTTTGTATAGACACAGAAAACAATCCAGGATGTACATCATACTAATTACAAGAATTGCCTCTGAGGAATAGAAATAGCTGTGATATTCGAACTTTTAAAAATAATAATTTGCGACATATACACACTTATGCTGCCCAGTCTTACCAAGAAAAAATGAACTGCCATAGTTTTGTCCTTCAGCATTTTTTTTCCTTTTCTAACATTTTATTTACTTTTTTTTTAAGGGAATGGGTTTTTTTTTTTTTAGATTTTATGTTTAGAGGGGAAGGGAAAAAGAGAGGGAGAGAAATATCAATGTATGGTTGCCTCTCTTGTGTCCCCTTGCTGGGAACTGGCCTGCAACCCAAGCATGTGCCCCGACTGGGAATTGAACTGCGATCCTCTGGTTCACAGGCCCGTGCTCAGTATTTATTTACTTTTAGACCAGGGGAAGGGAGGGAAGAAGAAATAGAGAAACATCAGTAGGTTTCCTCCTTAGCACCAACTGGGGAACAGGCCCACAACCCCACATGCCCTTAATACTTTTGTACTGAGGCAGAAGCCTGCCATTCTTCCAAAATTGTGTGGCTTTTGTATCTTAAGATATTTCAGTTTGTAAACCCTACAGACAATTAAAAACTAGTGTGGGGAGCCCTGGCTGATGTAGCTCAGTGGATTGAGCTTGGGCCTGCAAATGAAAGGATCACGGTTTGATTCCCAGTCAGGGCACATGCCCAGGTTGCAGGCCAGTTCCCAGCAGGGGATGCACGAGAGGCAACTGTACACTGATATTTCTCTCCCTCTCTTCTTCCCTTCTCTTTAAAGATAAATAAAATCTAAAAAAAGGTTTTTGAAAAAAATAAAATTTAATTAAAAAAATATAAAAAACCTAATGGGGGATGACAGAACTCAAGTGTTAAAGAGTTTAACCCTCATTGATAGGCTTAAGTGATTAATGCTTGTGGAAAGCTTTCGTTCCAAAATGGTGAATTGTTCGAAGACTCCTTTCTTAAAAAAAAAAAAGAAAAGAAAAGAAAAAGCCTTTGTACTAAAGGAAAAAAGAAAGGAGGAAAAGATTAAAAGGGGTAGGACCCCCCTGGCTGGTGTGCCTCAGTGGATCAAGTACTGGCCTGTGAACCCAAAGGTTGCTGGTTTGAATCCCAGCCAGGGCACATGCCTGGGTTTCTGGCCAGATGGCCAGCATGGGGCACACAAGAGGCAACTACACACTGAGGTTTCTCTCCCTCTCTTCCCCTCTAAAAATAAATCTTAAAGCAAAAAATAATAATAGTAAGGGTAGGTTTCATAGGTCATACTGACCTAGTTTTTAAAAAATAGCATTTCTCTAGAGAATTGCACTCCCAACAGCCACCGCAACTTCAACCAGAAAATCCACAAACAGGTTATACGTATCATTTGAGGACTACAGGACTCTGATGACGGCATGGGTAAATATTGGGTTCGCAAAAAATCTTGTTTGGTTTTTTACATAAGATGGATCTAGTAGCACCTAGCTGTGTTTACCCTCAAAGTAATTTTGCTAGATTGTATTGTGACAACTGTCGTATCAGTGTGCAGTAAGAAAAAAACAAACATCAAAATTGGTGAATTTTTATGTAGCCATTTTAATGTCAAAAAATAAGCAGTATTTTCTACATATGCTTTATTTCAAGAAAGGTAAAAACGCAACTCAAAGACACACACAGATTTGTGCAGTGTATGCAGAAGGTGCTGTGACTGACTGAACGTGTCAAAAGACCTTTACCGAGTTTCACGCTGGAGATTTCTGGCCTTGGACGAAGCTCCACGGTCCGGTAAGCCAGTTGGAAGTTGATAGAGATCGGCTGGAGACACTGAGAACAATCAACGTTATACCACACAGGGGAGAGCTGACATACTCAAAATATACAAATCCATGGCTGGCGGGCAGTGGATGAGCGCAGGCCGTATTTCCCATCAAGTTACTGGTGGAAATGAAAAATGTCTTTTACAGTAGGAACTAAACGTACTTTCTGGCCAAACTAATACTAACAAGGGTGCTCAGATTAACCACGTTTTCAGTTACAAATCTTAAAACCAATCAAACCTTGTGGCTCTTTTCATTGTTTTTAGAGGTAGAGGAGCATCAATGGGTTGCCTCTTGCATACCCCCAACCGAGAAATTCCTTGTTCAAACCAGTGCTGCTGGGCTTAAGGAATGAAAATGTTACCAAGGCTGTGTAAATGATGACGGCAATTATATGTCCAGGACTGTACACATGCAAATCATTGAGGATTTAAATTTTGTTTCACCTTGACTGGTGTGGCTCAACAGATTGAGCCAGGCCTGTGAATTGAAAAGGTTGCTCGCGGACTCCCAGTCAAGGCACATGCTTGGGGGTTTCAGGCCAGGTCCCCAGCTGGGGGTGTGGGAGAAGCAATGTTTCTCACCCTGCCCCTAACATCAAATGTTAAAACAAATTTCATTAGGTCGGATTTAGAGCCGCTCTATCCAACATAGTGTTCTTACAAAAGTATCTGCACTAACCTCTAGCCACCTCTAGCCTCTGTCACTAATTAACCAGTAGCTAGTACAACCGAGGAATTTCAAGTAATCATGTGTGGATGGTTGCTTACTGAAAAGGGCAGGTAAAATGGAGAGCTTTAACTAAATCGCCCTGGCAGGGTAGCATCTTTTAGCGCGAGCCACACTGGAGGCAGTGTTGTCTTGGACCACACATTAAATAGGTTGCAACATTAGTCACACAAAAGAAACCTGTTTTAAGTTCTTCGTTGGGCCGCATTCACAGCCATCCTGGGCTGCATGTGGCCTGCAGGTTGGACACCTCAACTAAAGAATTTTTTTCCCCTATATGTTTAGTGATTTGAGTGAGAAAAACAACTTGATGCTTCCCATACACACAGGACCAGGGACTAAACCTGCAACTTAGGTATGTGCCCTGCCCAGGAAAAGAGGCCTCAACATTTTCATGTACAGGTGACAATGCTCCAACCAACCAAGCCACACAAGCAAGGGTACAATGCCTTTTTAAGGTTTTGAGACTGGAAAGAGGTAGAGAATCAATGGGTTGTCTCTTGCTTACCCTCAATGCCCAACCCCCACCAGAACCCCAGCCACAAGCCAGGAATGTGCCCTCCTCACTAGCAATCAAACCTCCCACCCTTCAGTTCTCAGGGCTTGTGCTCAATCCACTGGGCCACACCAGCCAGGGCTCATCTTTTTTAAAAAAGCTTCTACTGAACTTCAGCCTGTTCATCTATCTATTCATCTAGTATCTGTGGGTATGTTTTGTTTGCTATGCCTCAGCATATAGGTACAATAAATTAAGGTGGCTGGCAGCTTTTGTTCAATTCAAACATTCATTTTTATTCAGGATAACACTTGTGGTTTAAAAATGGCTTAAATCATTTTTGGTGCTAATACATATTAATGTGTAGGAACTACTACATGAATGTCTATAGTATCAACTCTAGTTCTTTGTAGTAATCTTTCATTTTTTAACTGTGCCTAGCTTCTTCCCAGCTACGGTATTAAGAATTTCTACCTGATGCATTTAATATAACCTCAGATTTTCCTGCCTCAATAAGGGGTGGTTTCCATTCCTACCCTAAAACTTGTAGTGTTCAACTTCCAGGATAACACTATACCAGGAACTCAAATTCTGACTATCACATCAACTGGAAACAGTTAAGATTCAGGTTCTAATTCACGTCTCAGTGGGAACATGAAATTCAGAATTTCTCACAAACTCAGGTATGGTCAGCCAAGCCCTGCGCTGTCAATTTACGGATATGGATCTAGGAGTAGCAAGGCTTTATGTAAGAGATACCTCCTTTTTCTTCATTAAATAATGACCCATCATATAATATATGCATAATAAAATGAGACAAATAGTAAAAACACAAACTTTATTAATATATACAATTTACTGTTTCTTATAAATTTAATTTCTGTGTAACCAATCGATAGTACACAAAATATTTACACGTATATACAAAGACTCCCACCTGTATGCAACCCTCTGGTCCATCTGTGTTCTTATCTGCAAGAGAAAGCTAAAATGTTACCAATCACCACTGAATTGCTCACAGGAATGATAGATATAATGCTATACAAAACAAACTTGCAATAAAGTGCATTTCAGGCAACCTTAGCCATCAGTTCTTTTTAAACAGGTTTCCACAATTCATACGGACTTTTTTTCTGGGTTTTTGGAGATCCTGAAGAGGTCTCTTCAGCAATAGCTTTAGCTGATTTCTGAAGCATTGGCTTTGCTACAAAATTCTGTAAGAGAAGAAATTTGAGTCAGCTTCCCAGACATATACATTATACATACTTAAAATATCTGCCTTTCCCCTCTCTAAAAATAAAATATTAGAAAAAAGTTTTTGAAACATCTGTTTACAATTCTATTTAAGATTCAAAATTAACTAAAGAGACACCAACCAAATGCCATTTGTAACCTGACTCAAACGCCATCTGTAACCTGCTCAAGAAATTGTGCCAGGTAAATTCAAACATATGCAGGGTATATTACAATAGTGGTGTTGGAAAAGAATATTAAAATGTTCAAACTGAGGACGTGGAGATTAGATATAAGAAGCCCATTATACTGGTCACTTGTAGAAGTAGCATAAAAATACGTGATTTCTATGACATGGTTTAGTGGGTCTGAATTATCACTACAAAGACAAAACAATGAGCCTTCCAACAAAAATAAAAACCCACATAATAGATGTTCTAAGTCCAATTTTTGAGTAGTCAGGGCTTAGATACATACGTACATTATTAAAGCTACTGCTTTTTTGTTGAGAGGACTTTTCACTGGCATTTGTAGTTCCATCTTCTGTTAGCTTTTCCGACAGCTAGACAGGAAAAGGCAATACGTTAAAAACAAAATACACAAAAAACCCAAAAACCTTTGATTTACAGTACTGTATACGAAACCCAACCACATTCAGACTTAGTTATAAAGATAAAACAAGTGGGATCTAACCATTCAGTACACAATCCGAACAACACTGTACTGTGGATTCCCCCGCAACAAAATTGATGCATTAAATGGACCTGATGAAGACACAAATCCCCATAAAGCACTGTTTTATTCCCAGTACAAATTCGAGTAACTCTGAAGGTAAGTCAGTAACAATACCTAGTTTTCAAGAACTAATGTATTAGCCAGTTTGACACCTAATCATTTGAAGAATTGTCTAGCACTAACACAGGTATACCCATATCTGAGTATGAATGATCGATTCATCTAGGTAATGTTTCTTTTGTTTTAAACTGAGCCTATCAATTCCTAATTACCTTAAATTCTTAAAGCTTGGATTTTATGCTTTGGGTTCCAACATAAAAAGCACAGGGCAATTTGCCAATGCACATCCTGCACATTTATTTCTGGAGAATAATAAACTTATCTGCAAGTGAAGCAGGCCTCTTCTGTATTCTCTCAAAACATCTGGAATACATTGCATATATTACAAAAGGGACATCTAAATCACAGATGCCCCACTATTACAAAGTGTACTTTAGTTTAAAACTGGTCTTCTGTATCTTATCCAAACAGCACCTATCCCAAATTCTAGCATGCACATGGATCTACCAATACTAAAGCTTTCGGTGTGTGAACATAAACTTCAAATTAGTTAAACCTCTGATGCTTATGCCCATGTATCAATTACCAACAGATTTTCTTCAGCAATGTCTGGAGACCACATTCATGATTTCTATAAGACAGAAATAAAGCAGATAAACTATACTGTATGTTGAGTACAGAATTTCTGGGAACATAATGCTGCAAATGAAAACTACAGATAAATAGAGACTAGGAAAATTCTTTGGTTAACTAAATAGAATCAAACTACCACCTACAATCATGAAAGCAATATTCTGTCAACTAAAAATAAAGGTTGTTAAGTCTATTTTCATGGGAGAGAGTAAGTATTGTCAGACCTGCTATCTTGACTTTAATAAATATTTAGCTAGCCTTTCTCAAATGTAGTTCAGAGTAAATCAAATAAAAATGCTAATCAGATCTTTCTGGAAGTAGCTTTCTCAAGATTTTGTCTGGATAAACCTAGAATACTTACCTCAAACTTTGCACCTTTATTTGGTATGATTGTTTCATGGTTTGTTTCCTTCAATACAGGAACAACTCTGAGACTAGGGGGCAATTCAAAGTTGGTTGTTCCTAGGGCTTTTGCTGCATTGGCTTTCGCTATTTCTAACAGCTCCATTCGATCTACAAAACAAACAAGGCATCTCTTAATCCTGGCAGCATTTCCCCAAGAGGACTCAGAATCACAAAATAAGTTCGCATTTATTTTTGAAAAGCAAAACCAAAATGTTAACATTTCATCTCCATGTATAAAAACATATCCTTACTCATGGGGAAAAATTCCCTGCCTGTTTTTGCTGAGGAAAATAAGCATCCCTAAAATAATCTAAAGTTTTCCTTACCAAAAGCCTGAATTTCATACTGTTTTGCCTTCCTTTACACGTGTTCTGAACATTTTTGATTTCAAAAACGTTTTACACAGTACAACTGTCCCAACTAACGAACCAATACTGATAAATTACTAAATCCATTTTTAGACTTAGTTTTCATTTTTACCTATCATGCTTTCTCTTCCATAATCCTATCCCAGAAGCCATTTGTTTTTAAAACACAAACAAAATTTAATTTTTTATTTACTTTTTAAAAAGGAAATCACATGTCATTTAATTTTTTAAATTTACAGGAATAATACTGGCTAATAAAATTACATCACCTTCAGGTGTTCGATTCTATAACAAATCATCTGTACGTTGTATGCATATTCACTACCCACAGTCAAGTCTCCTTCCCGGGCCCCGGCTTCTTAAGCCCTGGACCAAAGAAGAGTCCTCCGTATCCTTAAGACTGCTGGCTTCTAGAGCCACAGGAATGTGAAGCACCCTGACACACACGTAAGACGCTGCCTTTCAGGTGATATAAGTAAGGTTAGGCTTTCTGACTTAAGTGATTAAGCTCAGGCTTGTGTAAAAAAAAGCTTTTGTACTATTCTTCCTGTTCAATGATTAACTTATTAGTAAAACCTTGCGACAGGTGAACTAAGTCACTAACATTTACAGGACTCCACTAAGTGCCAGCCACCAGGAGAAAAGATTACCTCCATCTTGAGCCAATTAACACCTACAATTTAATCCCAAAGGGTAAGAACTGGTGCCCGTTTAAACACCGGGTGTCAACTATAGTGTGGTTTTTTAACTGTTAGCCTGCCAATAATGTCCTCCTCCCCTCCTTCCTCCCAACTATTAGATTTCAAACACCGAAGGAGAAAACATAGCAACCTTGGTTCTCTAGCCTACTCACACCGTCGCCACACCTGTAAAAAGGTGCCTAGGGAGAAGCGAAGTGGGCGCCTCGGACTCACCTTTTTCACTTAAGCGAAACGGCGTTGGGCTCCGCGACCTCGTCCTGGATCTCGCCCGCCAACTCCTGTGCTCCTCCGGGTAGACGGAGCGACCAAAGCCATAGTAGCGGCGCCCCCGCGTGACCGCGTAGGCCCTTCGGTAATACGACCGCCCCCGAGAGCGGGACCGGCTACGGGATCGGTCCGGCGAGGGAGACGGAGACCGGTAATACCTCCTGGAGACGACGTAGTGACTCTCCCGGTACCGCCGGCGGCTACGGGATCGCGAGCGGCTCCGCGAGTAGGACCGCGAATACCGCCTGTACTTCCTCTGGTGGCGTCTTCGGGACCGAGACCTGGACCTGCTCCTGCGCCGGCTCCGACTGCTGGACGACCACCGACTGGAGACGCTGGATCGGGACCGCGAGCTTCTGGGAGAGCGGCTCCCAGCCGCCGACGACAGCCGGCTGGACCGGCCCGAGGCCGACGGGGACTCATCGCGTGACCCCGGCCACATATCGTTCACATAGTTGGGCATCTTGGCCTACGGCTGGAAGCTTTCTTGCCTTCCAAAATCCTTCTCGAAAATGCGGTTCCTAAACTGAACAGGAGAGGGGGAGGGGGGAAGGAAGTGAACTCCCGGAAGCAAAGCCTGCGGTCGGCGGGGGAGGGGGAGGTCGAGAAAGGAACCGAGACTCGCCAACCCGGAGCCCTATCCACGCCAGACACCGGCCCTGCGGCAACGCCAGCAGCCCCCCCCTTTCTGCGCCATGCAGAACTCCCCACTTTCCTTACTACCCACGCGGAGGTCCCCGTGATTCCGACCCCGCCACCAGGAAACTTACAAGCCACCCGCACTTCGTTTAGGGCAGAGAGAAAGGCCCAACGGACACCTTCCTTCCACAGCTAAGAACGAAGAGGGAACGTTCGCAGCTCCTCCTGAGCGAGAAACCACAACCTCCACCTTCTGCGACCAGGAGTGAACTGAGCAGGGAGGACCGCTGACGCGTCGAAAGTACCAGAAGCTGACGTACGGAGCATGCGCAGAGACGTTGATGCGTGGGTGTGGCTTCTGTGTCGCCCAACCGCCGCCCTCTGTTCCTTTTCTCCTCTCCCAGCCCCCACCCCCCGCCCCCGCTTCGCGCCACAGCTCCAGGACGCGCATGCGCGACTTAGCCGCGGGGGCGGAGGTGTTCAGCCCAGGTACAGGACGTGCTGTGCTTGTTTTGTTTTCTTGGGTAGGTGAAACCGGATAAGGCGGTCCTGCCCGCAGCGGGACGCCGGCGTCCAGGACTCTCTATCGGGCTCAGGCTTTCTGAGTCGCTTCCTGAACTTATGGGCAGCTCAGACTGGGCCGAAATTTCATAGACACTTCCGTCCCACTTTCTGCTGACCTGTGTCAGGCCCGTTATGGGAGAGGACAGCCACGTCCCAACTCCCCAGGCTGCCTGACCGCGGCCTTCTCTCCAGGACTCACAGGATCCCTGAAAATCCAGGATTAACTTAGAAAAGTTGTATTTCCATGTTTTGTCTAGTAAATGTTAGAAAGGTGAAGACAATGCAAAGACGCCCACAATTGATCTTTAACAAGAGGGTCGGATTGACGTTGGAGATGTCATTCCAAGGACAGTGTGCTTGGTGTTGAATTAAACAACCGGGAGTATGTTATTTCCAAAGATTTATGATTAGGGTACATTCCATACATACTTGTTGGTAATACTACATGACAATTGCTTGAGATAAGTTATCATTGAATTAATCACATCTGTAAGAAGAGACCATTATATGAGCTTTGCAAGTCCTGGGTGGCATTTCCGGAAGCCTCTTTCTTTGGAGGGAAATACGAACTCACTTTTCTCTTGCTCACCTTCATCCCGCATTCCCAAACTTACCGCGAAATCTGCACACACCCATGTGATCACCCTTGCTTGGCATTGTCCACTCCACAGTATCATCCGCATCTCTGAGGAAGTATCCTGATGGGAACACTTAGGACTGTTTCTTTAGAAACATGTGCTATTACAAATGAACTGAGAAGACTGTCATCTACTGGGAATTTTTGCTGAAAGTTCTAATGAAGCTGTTTGAATGGACAGAAAAAATGAGTTTAAAATATGCAGTTTAGCCCTGGCTGGTGTGGCTCAGTGGATTGCGCTCCAACCTGCGAACCTAAAGGTTGCCAGTTGAGTTCTGGTCAGGGCACACACCTGGATTGCTGCAAGCCAAGTAGGGGCTTTCGAGAAGCAACAGATCTGTTTCTCTCACACATTGATGTTTCTCTCCCTTTCTTTATACCTTTCTTCTCTCTCTAAAAATAAGTTAATAAAATAAAATGTGAAGTTTAACCATGGCCTGGTAGTTCACTGTCCCTGATGACATGCCCCAGTTCAGGAAACATACAAGAATCAACCAAAGAATGTGTAATATGTGGAACAACAAAATGATGTTTCTGCCTCTTTCTCACATAAATAAAAAAAATTGAAATGTAAAGTGTAAAAGTGGTGTGTCAGGAAAATAATGTGAAACTCTGTATAAGAATGCAATACAGCTTTTGGTTATGAATAAGAAAAAATGGTAGGAATCTCTATAGAATGTAACAGTCAAACACGTGCCTAAAGTAAAGAAAATCCTGGCTGTCAACAGTAAGAATACTGAATAGGCCCCGCTGGTGTGGTGCAATCGGTTGGGTGTCATCCTGCAGACCAAAAGTTCACGGGTTTGGTCCTCAGTCCAGGCCTGGGCAGAGGTGGCCAACTGTTGTTTCTCCTTCTCTTCTCCTTTCTCTAAAAATCAAAAATAAAAATAATTTTTAAAAGAGTACTCCTAGCCTGTTAAAAATATATATTGTACACACAACAGGAAACATGACTTTGCTCTTGTGTAGAATACAGTGTATTAGTCTCTAGAATGCATGCAATCTACCTGAGTTAAACTGCAAGGGATGTGTGTCAGTGTTCCTTTATTTTACTAAACAATATAATCTTCTCTGAGCATCTGTCCACACATCTGATTCAAATCCAATTTCAGTTATCATTAAAACATCTTGCACGGAATTTGTAGGCTAATTCTGGCAAAAAATGACATTTTTACAATAGTACATCTTCTCATCCAAGAATGTAACACTTTTCTCCACATACATTTTTTGCATGTCCTTCACTGTGGTAGGCAGATTAATAGCCCCCAAAGATGTCTACACTCTAATTCTCATAACCTGTGAATGTGTTATCTTAAAAAAGAATTATCCAGAATGATTAGAAGTAAGGACCTTTTGAGATTATCCTGATTAAGTATGCCCAATCTAACCGTAGGAGAGACTCAAAGCAAGAGAATTCCATGCCCTGCTGCTGAATCTGAAATGTTGGAAGCTGTCTACAAAGACATGAGAGAGGCCTCTAGGAGGCAAAGCTAGCTCTCGGCCGACAGTCGCAAAGGAAACATCCCAGTTCTACAACCTCATGGGACAAAGGCCTCCGAGGGGAATGCGGTCCACCTTGACTTCAGTCTAGTAGGACTTTTCACCTACAGAACTGTACACGTACTAAATTTGGATTCATTTAAGCCACTAAGTGTATGGTAATTTTTTACTGAAGCAACAGAAAACTGATACATTCACTAAAATGTTATATCTGTTTTCATATACATCTTACACTTGCCTCGCTAGATATGCTCTTGAAACTGGAAAAGCTGGTGTTCATGCTGCCTGTCACTATTAGTGTTTGCTGGGGGAAATTGATAGCTCTGTGCCTAGGGAGTGACTCCCTGTTTTAGAAATACAGCACAGCAATTAGGAGATTGTTTTTACAGCCCCAGGTGTTTAACAGCCCAGTGATTTGCCTTGTTTCTTCTAGCTTATCGACTACATACCAGAGATAATGAAACGCTCTGCTTTCTGCTTCTGTAAATTGTCTCCTGCTTTGGTCTGAAGGACAGGCCTCCCCCTGCTCTATCCACCCCTGCTCTATAAAATAACCACTTTCCCTTTGTTCAAGGCCCAGAATTTGGAAACTGATTCCTCTGGGTCCACAGGTAAAATAAACTTCCACTCCCGAAAGCGGCTGAGTTGTTTTCTGTAACATTAGAACCAATTGTTGGAGACAAGGATTGAATCTTTATGGCCGTTTTATTCAGATGGTCTGCGATCTGGGAAGACAGCAGGTTATATCCCCCCAAAACACTGACTTAAACATCTCATTTCAAGCTGACTTTTTTATCAGGAGAAAAAAGGGTGGGTAAGGAGTTTGGAAAGACGGTTAATTGGATAAGAGTTGCAGCCCAGCGTGATTTTCCTGAAACTTCTTTATTTGTTGATGAACAATTCTTTATTTGCATCATGGGGGCTCCCTCCCTAGAACACAATGCCTCAGATACTCTCTTCCTGGGGCAATGGTTGACTCTCTTGTCTGCCTCCTGGAGTCGCATGGTCATGCACTACAGTTCCTGGAATAACAGCCTTCCACTGGCATTAGTCATTTAAGCCTGTGAACCAAGGCTAAAACCTTTCATTCTGGAGTTCCCCTATCATTCTGATAAACTGTAAATGGTATTTGCGGATTGTGAATAGGATCCTTTTTGTTCTATGTTCACTTTGTTTTATGTTTTATATGCACAACACTTAGCTAATTTTTGCACCCAAAATGAGAGATTTTTTTTTTCATTTGATAGGTAAAGTCATCCCATTTAGGCTAACTGCAATGTTGATCTTATCTCTTCCATTGGTATCTATTTTTTATTTCGCTTTGCCTTTTTCATTTTTTTCTGTTTTATTGTGCCAGCCTGACCAAGTGTATCTATTTTCCTCTCTCCCACTATTCATTTAGAGGTTCTGCCATGCTTCATGAGCCTTTAATAGTTCAATGTATATTTTTTTATCTGTACCAAATATACTTAAATTTGTTCCTCCCCTCCTTCTTCCACAAATATTTAGAGTACTTATTGTATTAAATTATGTTGGATAAGTTAAGAAAAATGTGTTACTTCTTTCCCTTACCAAATGTGTTAGTTCTCTTCCCTCATCATTTTATGATGAGTCCATCCATTTGAATACTGCTTTATAACATGTTGGATTACCATCATTTGCTTTCCTCAATACACTAGGCTGGCTTGGATTTGGCCTCTTGGACAGCCTGGCTCCGATATTACATCTTATCATGCTTGCAGCTTTGCTAGGAGCCAAAGTCACATGCCACTTTCAAGACTGGTACTTTTATTGTTATATGATAAAGTCTCAAAAGTGAAATTGCTGGGTAAAGTTTTAGCTTAGTTAGCTGGATCTAATAAAAGAAGGCAAAGGGAATCAGACATTATTAAGCATAATAAACTGGGGGGGTGGTACTGAATCAGACAATGAGCTCGCTTGCTTCACTAGGAAGTTATAGCTTTACACACTGCCCAGGGCAAAAATCCTCCTCAAATTGGTAGGAAGGATCTTTATCCGAGGAGGAATAAAATCAGCAGGAGAATTCCTCAGCTGGGCCCATGTACAGTAGAAATCAAGAGGGTGAATGGGGACATACTTCCACTTTGAGGCATGGGCAGTAGGAACTATGATGGTGACCATAAGAGGTAGTATCTAGCCTGGGAAAGGATCAGATTTGATAAGGGACACACAGAACCCTGGAAGATCCTGGAAATGGATTGGTTAGGGGGAGCATCCAACACAAGGCCGGGAAAGATTGGGAAGTTGATTGGTTGGAAGGGGAACCTAGTCCTTCCCCGGCCTGTGTGGGCCACGGTATTATACAGGCCAGGGCACAGCACCAGCAGGAGCATAGCTAGGAAGATATGGACTAAACTAATGGCAAGAAATATTTGGATACTGACCCTATCCCTCCCTCAGGTCTCTTCTGGCCGAGCCCCCAAGTGGCTGCCCACCTTTAACCTAAATCCTGATCCTGAGCCTCCTGTGTGACCTCATCTCTGACTCCTCCCACACTGAGCTACAGTTGCCAGTTCTCCTGTATTGTTCACACTTGCTCAGCTTCCATCCCCAATCAGGTTAAGAGTG